GGGTATCTGGGCAATAAGTCTTCCAAGAGGGGTGATGGAGAGCTAGGTCTCCTGTCCCCTGGCTGCAGGTGATATTTGTCCTCTAAAGAGAGGACGCAGACCAGAGTTGGGTTCATCTGGACCAATATCTTGCCCCCTGGGAAGAAGTGAATTTGAGCTCCCATCACAGTCCCTTCCTAACAAGGTCCCTTTCTAACAAGGGCTAAAAACACTCAGGAGGACTGAGTGGTGAGCTCTGGTATCCATCAGAAAACTGACTGGGCATTCCCCTCACTTTTAAGGTTACTCTGGGCTTGGGAGGGGACTTCAAGTCCTGACTGTTTCAGACTGACAGTTCCAGGAAAGACTTTGGTTCCTGGTATTTCTTAGGGTTTGGGGAACATTCGCCATTCAGTGATCCATTTCCTAACAGCAGGCACATTGGCTCTTTAAAAGTCTAGGACGAGACTAACTGGACTTGCCTGGGTTGCTTCCAGGCCGGTAGAAGCCTCTGCCTTGATCTACTTGGGGTTTCTGGGTTGTGACTAGAACTGTTACCAATTTCCTCACCTGTTTGTCCTCCAGACTTTTTTCTCTGTTATTGAAAGTTTTATGGGCAACCTCCATTAATTCAGACAAATTCTTACCTTCAAATTCTTTAATTATCTGTATTTTCTTTTGAATGTCTGAGGCAGATTGACCAACAAAGGCCATGTTGATGGCTTGTTGATTCTCTGGTACCTTGTGATCAATCAGTATGTTAAGTTCTGTAGGCATCTAGGAGGCACTGTAAAAACAAGCAGCTTTGGATTTTGAGGGCCCTTGGACCACCTGACTTACTTTTGACAAATTTGTTGGACACTTGGCAGCAGTCCTGAGGCCCCCCCCCCCCGAATCTGGCTATAACTTTTGAGTGCCTTTCTACCTTTAGCCATGTTAGGGTTCCAGTCGGGGCTGGTCCAGGAAAAGGCAGTGTCAATAGTCATGAATGGGGTCTTCAGAATATTGCTGGTTTCTCCCAGCAACAGCTTCCAGGCCTCCCGCCCAGTGTGGTCCCATTCCTCGGTGGTGAAAAGAGTCTGGAGGAGCCGTTGGGTGTCCTCCCAAGTGGAAAAAGTGGTCTTTTAAGAGAGAGATGAAGGCCTGGGGCTCCTCAGGAAAAAGGAGGGTTCTGAGCCTTCCAGTTGTAAATGTCACTTGTGGAAAAAGATTGGTGAACCATGAAGGGCATCAGCAGCAGGTGGGGCAACAATGCACAAGGGTCAAGCTTCAGTTGGCGGGCACTGAAGAGGGTTCCTAACCAGGTACGGAGTGGACTGGTAAAGGAGGAAGAGGAGGGAGGGGCCGAAAGGGCCAGTCTCCTGGGTAGCAGTGGTGCCTCAGGTCACCACCTGCATGGGCTAACCAGCAAGGAGTGGCAGCAAGTCCTCATTGTCAGGTTGCCACAAGATTGGTGGGCTCTGCTTGAGATGGTCCTGAACCACCATGGTGACAGCCTTAATTATTTCTTTGATCTGCCTAGATTGGTCCTGGAAATTTCTAGTTATGGTAGAAACATTTTCTTTCTCTGTAGGTGAAGAAAAGAGAGAGGAATATGATTTTTCAACCATTTGTGTGTGGGGAAGTTTCAGAGAACTCTCCAAGCCATAATACAGAGGACTTGGTCAGGGTGTCCCAGAAGCCTAAGGAGTATGGCCTGTATGGGAAGAAGTTAAAGAAGCCCTCTGATGGCCAGCCAGTGCCAAAAGAAGGCCAGTCAAGTTCACAGAGGGTCCAAAGTTTTCTGAGTTGAGTCAAAGTTTCCTTCTGAAAACCCTTAAAGTAGAGCAAGAGGAGTGCCTCAAGAGGAGTGTCTAGAGTAGACGAGAATTGTCTCATGGTGAAGGAGTTAAACATTATAAAGAACAGTCCACACACACACACACACACACACACACACACACACACACACACACACAAAAAAAAAAAAAACAAACAAACAAAAAAAAAAAACACCAAAAACAGAAGGAACACAAAAGACAGACATCAACAAAACCAAGTATCAAAGACAGACACAGCCTTGGGCCGCCCAAGTCTGAAGGGGTGGATTTTAACCTGTTCCCCTCTGCCAAGTAGAGAATCAGGGAGTCCCCCATCTCCTGACTCGAAGAGCAATGCCACATCCTGATTCTCTTTGAGTCACCAAGGGTCTAGACCATACCAGAAACAAGACTAAACCAAAAAGCCAAGAAAAGAACTTACCTCCACATGGAGGTGCCGTTTAGTTTGGTGACATTCACTTATCAAGCTGAGGGGTGTTCAAGGGTATAGGACCTTCTGGCCAACATGCCAAATGTTGGGGGTCAGGAATAGCCACACAAGCACATTCAGACAGTCAGATATGGATGGTTTATTGAAAGCACACCCCCAGACTGATTGATTAGGGATGCAGCCCAGACTTGGGAGCTGAGACTGTGACCGATTCTCAGAGTCAACTTATAAAGGCATCACCACAATTAGCTCATACAAAGGAGGTGGATAGCGTAACAGGGTGGTCAGCCCTGGCTCAAATACTTTTGCTAACTAGACAAAGCAGTTCTAGCTGACCTTGGTCCTAAGCTGGGAATGCCAGTTAGGGCCAGCTGCATCCAGTTGTGTCTATAGTTGGGGGATTTCCAGGAATAACAAGCTTACAGAATATGTCAAGCATAAACATAGTTTTTGGTCAACCTGACCTTGCACAGAGATTCCTGTGTCAGTAACAAGTGAGATGATGTGTCTGGTGGGCCTGAAACAGAACTGGCTAGTGTTATGCTAAAAGAGTAGGCCTACCCAAGAGGGAAAGCAGGTCTTAACAATTTTGATGTCAGAAAGTATCCTAACAAAAAAGTAACAAAGTAAAATTTGCTTTATTTCAGCTAGAATTCTAGGTTGTAGTTCATCATTGAGGGAAATCAAGAACTTAAAACAGATAGTCACATCACATCCATAGTCAAGAGCAGAAAGAAATAAATACAAGGTTGTTTACTTGGTTTTTTATCAATTAATTCAATTTACATCTGAGTCGTTGGCCTCTCCCTCCTCTCCTCCCAGTACTATCCTCCCTCCTGCATCTCCTCCTCCCTATTCCTCAGAATAGGTGAGCCCCCTACCCAGACACCCATCTAGTCACTTGAGGACTGAGTTCATCTTCCTCCTGTGTGGCCATGAAGGATGTCCCATCAGGGGGAAGCAATCAAAAAGCAGGCAACATAGTCCGTGTCAGAGATATCACCCACTTTCCTAACTAGTGGTCTGACATGAAGCCTAAGATGCCCATCAGGCTTATCTTCTTGGGGTCTGTGCATTGTAGTATGTCTGACTTGTACTATACGACTAAAATAGACTTTTAAGTGAATGTATATTCTATGTGTGTCTTTCTGTGTCTGGGTTATCTCACTCAGAATGTTAGTTCCATCCATTTGCCTGCAAATTTCATGATTTCCCTGTTTTTAATGGCTGCGTAGTATTCCATTGTGTAAATGTACCACAGTTTTTTTGTTTTTTTTTTTATTCTTCAGTTGAGGAACATCTAGATTCTGGCTATTATGAATAAAGCTGCTCTGAACATGGTAAATCTTGAATGGTGGAGAAGCACTTAAAGAAATGTTCAGTGTCTTTAGTCATCAGGGAAATGCAAATCAAAACCACTCTGAGATTCCATCTTACACCTGTCAGAATGGCTAAGGTCAAAAGCTCAGGTGACAACACATGCTGGAGAGGATGTGGAGAAAGGGGAACCCTCCTCCATTGCTGATGGGAGTGCAAACATGTACAACCACTTTGAAAATCTATCTGGTGCTTTCTCAGAAAACTGGGATTAGCCATAGCTCAAGATCCAGCTATACCACCCCAGACATACACCCGAAAGATGCTCCACCATACCACGATGAGATTTGTTTGTTTACTTGTGTCCAGCTCAATTTCAAGACCCTCTACCAATGACATGATGCTCCCTCAGCTACAGCTTGAGATGTAGCTGGGTCCTCTTGGATCACAACTGTGAGAAAATCCCAAGGAAATGCTTTCTTGAACATTGGCCTTCAAAGACAGAGAATCTGTTCCTTTGAATGAATAAGGATCCCCACAAGATGGTGCCTCTAATGGGTGAGGTCGTGACTTCAAGATGTCCTTTCTATTTACTCAGTGCAGAGTTTTCCATATTCCAGTTGGTCTCAGATACTCACAAGAGAACCTTGACTTGAGACTGTGCCTCCTGGTAGATAAGAGTCTTCTCCAGAAGCTTCAACTGAAGATCTGAGTCACGGCAAAGCTCCCCACTCGTCAGAACACACACTTTCCTTCCACTCCTTCTTTCTTCCACATTCCCCGACTCTTTTTCCTACAAAGGCCTATGAAATTTTCCTGTGATCCATCCAAAGGGTAGATGGGTCTATAAAGTTCCTCTGCAATGATTTTCAGGCCAGAAAGAGAAAATGTAAACTGGGCTCTAACCAGTGAATTTGACTTCATCCACCAGGAGGGTGGCCCCTGCAATGCTTTCTCATCATGGATATAGATTCATCCACCAGTGACTATGAGACAGATTGGTGGCATCAGTTCAGCACATTACCATAGAATAGTGCTTCTAGAAAAACTTGAGATTCATTCTCTAAGGGATAATAATAGAGTTCTGCTATATGCAACACTGAACATTGCCATTGAAGGAAGAAAATAGACATGGTGAGAATTCATGCACCCAGCAAGTCCTCAGCTCTCGATCTCTCTCTCTCTCTCTCTCTCTCTCTCTTCCTTATGATCTGGGGTACTCAGCAAAACCCTTTGCTGATGTCAGAGGCTGTCTTTGACTTATCCTACTTACGTGGTTACTAACACATACTTTTTTCTTTATTTTCCTTTATGGGTTTTGTTTTTTCATTCTGCTTGTTTTCTCCAGTCTGCTTGTTTATGTATTTCTTTAAAGTTTTTTCTTTTTTTGCAGTGCTAAAGCTTTAATTGTGTCTGCTAAGCAATTATTTAACTACTGGGTCACTCTTAAGGTCTCAAATGCCCTTTATAAAACTGACTGTAGAACTCATAAGTTTATGTGAACAAGGAAAAGAGAAAATGTTCTTATCAAATAAAAGTATGGATCCATGAAAGCCATCTTCCAGGTGACACCAGGTCACAGGGACCCCCTGGTCCTCCAAGCGCTTCTTGTAGAGCAAGGTGTCATCACGGAGAACATCATATTCGCTGCTCACCATGAATGCTTCAGGAAGCCGAGCAATGACCTTGTCATCTGCCAGTAGAGGTGAAATTTCTGAATTGAAAACACGGTTGATTTCCAAATAGGCAGTTTCATTAAAAGGTCCAGGAAAATCAGGTTGTGAGCCATGGCTCTTGAACCTTTGGGGGATGTTGTCAGAGCTGAGCCATTTCTCATACTTCTTCCAACTGTCTGGGGGTATAAAAGTACCTTTTAACATGGCATCAATCCAGGAAAGGTCAATGGCTAAATACTTACATACACAAGTCATCAAAAATTTCCTAGACAGAAAAGGAGAATTTTGATACTGTTGGTAAGATGGTAACTGAAAATTGACCCCCTGGATGACTGGATTAATCAAAACCTGAGCCCGAAACTGGGGAAGATCTTGTCTGTCCAATAGTATCTGGGCAATGACGGCTGCAGCCCCAGCTCCAATGCTCTCTCCACTAACTACCACCCGGGCAAGGTCTACCCCATAGGTTTTCAGGTCTTTCAAGAAGTGGATAGTGGCATTGAGGCAATCCTGGAAAGCAGCAGGGTGATGGTAGCCAGGGACCTTGCGGTATCTAAGGAGGAAAAAGAAACAAACAAACCATAGCACACTGGCACATATAGGAGGTTATTCAAATAATGATCTCTATGCCCAAAGGAGACAGAGCCTTATTAAACCCTAAGACTGACCCAGTCAAATAAAGATGGAGTCCTGGTTAGCTTTAACTGTCAATCTAAGAGCGCATGTAGTTGCCTGAGAGGAGACCCTCAAATGAGGAATTTCTTAGATCAAACATGCGTCTGTGTGTGGGATGGTTACCTTGACTGGTGGGTAGCACCATTCCCTGAGCAGGTTGCTTGGGCTGTTCAGCATGAGCCTAGAAGCCACCAGCCAGGGAGCATCCTCCATGGCTCCTATCATACTTGGCCGGGAGGTCCGTTCCTTAGTTATAGATAATGCTTTGTGTATCAGCAAACAGGCCATGCCTTCGAGTTCCCACCTTGACATTTCTTAATGATGGGGCTGTGACTCAGAGTTGTAAGCTAAAATGAACCTTTCTTCTCCTGCTTTTGGTCAGGGTATTTTACCACAGGAAAAGAAAGAAAAAGAAAAAAAGCAACCAACCAACCAACCAACCTCGGCTGAATAGTTACCCTCATTGTTTTCTATGTGACTTCAAACAACCTACCCAGAGTAAGAGTGGCAGAGACTCTCCATTTAAATCCATATGGATGAACAAACCCCACACGGGATTGTGCAATCCGTGTGCAAGTTGAAAGCTAATTGCACTGGAAGTGGGAAAACAAAACAAGCAACAACAGGGACAAAGCAATGGCTTTCCTCACTGCCTGTCTAAAGTAAAGTAAGGTTAAAGTCAACATGAAGTTGGTTCAGCTGAGCATAACAGAGAAGAAGAGAGAAGATGAGAGGGAGGTGAGGGGAAACAGGAGAGGAGAGAGGAGTGTTGGTCTCCTTGTGTTTCAGCCTCAGGCATTTCCTCCTGGCACTACCCAGTACAGTTCTCTGGCAACCCAAAGTCCCTTTTTTGGCTAAAAAAAAAAATCAGTCACTGCCTCACAATATTCAGACCTACAGGCCAGAACTTTGCAGTTCCCCACAAAATATCACTACTGGGAGTCAGGAAGCTTGTGGCATACACCTAAGGAACAAAGAGAAACAGCACAACAGTGTGCAGCTGCCAGTGGGTGTGTATCTCTTCCTGTGCCTTCTCTTGCCCTGCATGCAAGAGATCTTCAGTGCCTGCGAGGCCTTCTGAGATTTGGATTCTAATAATGGAAGTTCAGTTACCATAGACCAGGTAGGAGGAGGTCCCTGGAGACTAAAGATGCTGCCATCAGAGAGAGCCATAAATGCTTAATGTGATGGCTAATTATGGTTGACCAGTTGACCACATCTAAATTCAACAAAAATCCAAGCAACATGTGTGAGGGGTTTTCTTGACTGGATTCACTGAGGTAGGAAGACCCATCCTAAATCTGGGCCACATAATCTGGGTGGCAGGCAGCCCACATAAAAGGATACGGAAGATGGAATGTTTGCATTTGCCTTGGTCTTGCAGACAAGCTTATCTATTCTGTTGCTGAGGTATTCCTTAGCTGGTATTAGAACCTGCTTTGTTGAAATTCCAACACAGACTGAAGACTAGCAGTTCTCTAGGAACCCTTTGGGACTTTAGCGCCAGATTGGGACTGTTAAAAAATCCAGCCTTGAGGGCGGGGCAAGATGGCGGCGTGGGAGGACTCTCATTCTGAGGAGCAGCATAGCAGGATTGGCACAGTGACCAGCAATCAGAACTCGCGGCCATAAAACACAAGTGGTTGTGTTTCTCAGGTGAGAGGATACCCCACGGTGGGGCATTCAATCAGATTTAACTCACCCGGCTAAACCGCGGACGAGATCCTGGTTCCGCCAGACGCTTGGTTGCCAGCCCAGAGCTACCCACCAGCGCGATTTGGTCACGGTCCCAGACTGAACTGTGGGCCCACAGCACCATAGACTGGATTTCCCAGTCGAGAGATAACCCCACGGAGCAGGAAACAATTGGGACCGACCCCAGGTTACCCAGACATCCCCTGGAAAAGACTCGGGTTCCGCGGGTGCCCCAGGAGCCAGCCCGGACCCAGAGCCGGGACAAAGGCGCCTGCACAGAGCCCTGCCTGCGCACGTGATTCGCCGCCTCAGATAGAACTGTGGGCACCAGGGCACCAGGGCACCAGACTGCGTGTCTCTGGCAGGAGGAAACCCCCAGCGGAGGGGGTCAGCAGCTCTAACGCTTAGGACACCCAGCACCAAAACACTTCCTGGACTCACGCAGACTCTAGTGCAGGCAGAAGCGCTGTGCTCTGCCGCCATTGTTGCGTTCCCCTGGGGCACTGGGACACACAGCTGCATCCTCGGACCTGCAGGAGCCGAAGAGCCATTACAGCAGCCCTCAGATACTGTGCCAGGGATCGGCCAGTTGTCCCTGGCTGGACTGCCAAAACTGTGGGAATCCCTGATCCTTCAGGGGGGCTGCACCACAGCGTCTGGACCAGAGCGGTGCCTACAGCCGCCATCCCAGACAGAGACACACAGCTTCTGGTCCAGAGTGAGGCACCCAGCCTCCAGACCAGAGCAGTGCCCCCAGGCGCCAACTCAACCTAGGTGCACGTTCTCCAGGTCCAGAGCAGAGCAATCAGCCTTTGGCCCAGAGACTTGCTGAGTGCACCTCACACTTTCTCAGACAGAACTGTGCGCCCCAGGATAACAGACTGAGTTTCCCTGTTGGGAGAAAACCCCACAGCTAGGGAATCAGCAGTCTCTTCAAGAGGACTGTACATGGAAATTTAGTGAGCAGCAGCACACTAAATTTATAACAAGAAACCCAGCAGTGGGGCAGCTGTCTTGAGAAATTTTATGAATAAGAGGAGATCCCCCCCTGCCTAACATAGACCACAGCTACTACTCAGGGCTATAAACCTGAGGTGAGCAGTGGCAACTCCGGAGAAACACTGGCCATACAGTGACCATAACCAAAAAGCAGAGGAGGACTCCTTCAGGAAAAATCATCTTCTGGCCAAGGGGATACTCCCTACCTCAGGACTCCAGGAAGCACAGAAACTAACAGCCAAAACCTAAATCAGCCCAATGGGTAGAGGTCAGCGTAAAGGCTCAACCAACAAAAGACAGAGCAATATGGCATCTCCAGAACCCAGCCATCCAGGGGCGAACAGCCCTGAACAATGCAGCATAATAGAAAATCAAGAAGATGACCTTACATCTATGTTGATGAAGAGAATAATAGAGGAAACAGATAAAATACGTAAAGAATTAGAGGAAGATAAAACCAAACAGATCATGGCTATCCGTAAAGAAATGAAGGAAGATAAAGACAAGCAAATTAGGGCCATCCGTGAAGAAATACGGGAAGATGCAGCCAAACAGCTTGTGGCCTTCAGAGAAGAAATAATTAAATCACTGAAAGAAATCAAAGAGACAGAGTTGAAGGAACTTTAAGAAAAAGAGGAAAATACAAGCAGACAGGTGAAGGAAGTAAACAAAACAACTCAAGACCTGAAGATAGAACTAGAAAAATTAAAGAACACACAAATGGAGGAAATAATGGAGAGGAAAAATTTAGGGAAGAAAACAGGAAGTACAGAGGTAAGCATAACCAACAGAATACAAGAAATGGAAGAAAGAATCTCAGGTGTAGAAGATACAATGGAAGAAATCGATGTATCTGTCAAAGAAAATGTTAAATCCAAAAAATTCCTGACACAGACCGTCCAAGAAATCCAAGACAATATGAAAAGACAAAACCTAAGAATAATAGGAATAGAAAAAAGAAGACTCCCTTCTCCAAGGCCCAGAAAATATTTTCAACAAAATCATTGAAGAAAATTTCCCCAAGTTAAAGGAGAAGCCAATAAGGATACATGAGGCCTACAGAACACCCAACAAACTTGACCAGAAAAGAAAATCCTCCCGGCACATAATAATCAAAAGAGTAAGTATACAGAACAAAGAAAAAATACTAAAAGCTGCAAGGGAAAAAGGCCAAGTAACATATAACGGCAAACCCATTAGAATCACACCTGACTTTTCAACAGAAACTATGAAAGCCAGAAGGGCCTGGACAGATATCATGCAGACCCTAAGAGAACACAGATGTCAACCCAGGCTACTATACCCTGCAAAACTCTCAGTCCTCATAGACGGAGAAAACAAGATATTCAATGACAAAAACAAATTTCAACAATACCTACACACAAATCCAGCATTACAGAAGACACTGGAAGGGAAAATACAACCCAAGAAAATTAGCTTCTGTCAAGAAAACACAGGAAATAATTAACCTTACTACAACAAAACAAAAAGCAACCAAGCACACAAACTTATGAACACAGCCAACATCAAAATCAAAGGATCTAACAGACACTGGTCATTAATCTCTCTCAACATCAATGGACTCAACTCTCCAGTAAAAAGACACAGATTAACAGAATGGATACGTAAACAAAACCCAGCAATCTGTTGTATACAAGAAACACACCTAAGACACAAAGATAGACATTACCTGAGGGTAAAAGGTTGGAAGACAACTTTCCAAGCAAATGGACCCAAGAAACAAGCAGGAGTAGCCATTCTAATATCTGATAAAATAGACTTTCAACCAAAATTAATAAAAAGAGATGAGGAAGGACACTTCATACTCATCAAGGGAAAATTCCACCAGGAAGACATCACAATCCTGAACATCTATGCCCCAAATACAAGAACACCCACATTTGTAAAAGAAACATTGATAAAATTTAAACCACATATAGATCCCCACACATTAATAGTGGGAGACTTCAACACCCCACTCTCAACAAAGGACAGGTCAACAAAACAGAAATTAAACAAAGAAACAATATCTCTGACAGAAGTCATCAATCAAATGGACCTCACAGACATCTACAGAACTTTACACCCAAACACAAAATAATTTACCTTCTTCTTAGCACCTCATGGAACCTTCTCCAAAATAGATCATATAGTTGGTCACAAAGCAAGCCTCAACAGATACAA